CTTTGTTTTTGCGTGAAAATGATACAAAATTTACAAAACGTTTGTTTTTGCATATAATGAAAAATTAACAATTCTATCTTTTACAAATAATTAGCATTTGTTTTAACAAATGAGAAATGATTGAGAGACATTTAACACGCACGTGTCTACCTATCAACCAACTTGATTTCTATCGGGTTTCCTGGCGCTATTAATTAAGAGGTCAATATTGCTGATATTGTTTTTCTACTTAGGGTTTTTTACCGTGAATAAAATTTTTTGTTAAGTGAATTATCATTATTATTATTAAAATCATTATCATCATTTGTTATTATATATGTGTGTGTAACATTCAGAAAAATTTTAAATACAAATGATTTTATGATCAACACACATTAATATAACTTTTAGTATAATAACAAAAATCGTCACGAACATTAATTAAAAAATTAAAAATTTTTATTAGTTTATTTCTGATTCTTTAGTTTATTTTTTATTTTTCAGTTTATTTAAAGAAAAAACTGTCCACATATTAAAGGTTAAAAGGTTAAAGGTTTCTCTCTCTCTTTTGCGTTTGCTTCAGAGGTTTCAAATTATAAATGTCGAAAAAAGAAAATATAATAAATTTCTATAATATTAAATTTTAAATTTATTTTCATGTCCTCATAAATTTACTATTTTAATGAAAATGCTTTTCTCAACTTTTGAATCTCGTTTTTTATTCTTTAAATAACAAATCAACTTTCGCGATCTGATATGCTTAAGGTTGAATCTCGAAACATTAAAGAATCACGTCTGAGAACTTTTTAAAACTTGAACTTAAAAAAAAATTTAAGATTCTTATTTAAATGTCTTTCTTTAAGACACACTCGTCACTCGGATGCCCTGTGCGCGTTAAGTCATTTTATGCATTTTATGAGTTAGAGCATTTCATCCAGTTGTTATCATGTTGCTATGTCTCACGAGATTTTAGGAGTATTTTCAGTTGTTAGTTTGTGCCATGATGTTTTCATGAAACTGTGTTTAATTGCTTAATTCGTATGCTTTCTGTCTTTGTTGAACTTTTTCATATGAGAGGAGCATGTAAATAATGATATCAAAATTATCATTATACATGTTATTTCAATTATTGCAACAACTATTTTTACATTCTAAACAATTTTCATTACATTTTTTCAAAAATTTCTCCCAAGTATTTTTTAGAGGTATCAACAGCAAACTCACGACGCACGTGAAAACGCGTAAGTTTGTACGTTGCACAGGCAATATTTGCATGTTGTAGGCAGACAGGAGGTTCTTTGTATTTGAAACCACCCAACGCAACAGCAGCAGCAAGCACTAACAATATTACTCCATCGAGCTGACAAAAATTTTCAGTTTAGCAAATGGGCAACCAATGCGACTGCGACTGTTCACAACATCGGTTGTATTAGATGCAAACTTGTGCAAGGCTTTTAACACAACTCACAAAATGCTGCAATGCAACGCTACCACAGATAAAAATTAACGTCGTTTCTACTAGAGCATACTGTTACAGAGTACTACCGTTAGTTTGCTAACAACAACTCTACTTATAGATGCTGTTGTAGTTCATCTTTATTTGCAACATAATCCGACAAATCGTTTATATTTTCTAGCCTCTCTGTTATTCAAAGATGCTTTGTCTTTACTTTTTGTTTTGTTAAAAAATTTGCTTTGTCTTTATTGCATGAAAAAGATGGTACATTTCGATAAACAGACTGAACAGCTTCACAGTCCTGCTTGATCAAGAAATTTCAAAATCGAAAATCTGTTTTTTATTTCATTTCCAATTTTTAAAAAATATATAATAACCATTATATATCCTATTTCCCATTCAAATGCACAATTTTTTGTTGCTCTATGTAGAATACGTCTATTTAAATTTTTTAAATCATCATTGCGCAGTTTATTAGTAGCATGAATTGACAACAGTATTCGTGCTGGGAACGTGTGGCGTTCTGTACAGATCGCCAATACGAATGATTAATATTGATATTTCTACTCTGATACGGGGATAATTAGACTTTCCTTGTTATGATCCTTTGATCTCTGATCTTATTTCCACCTTTCAACCGATGCAAAGTGTTGAAGATCGGGTTTTGTGGAGGTCAATGGCCGCCAACGTCCTGAAAGGATGAGGCACGAGAAAAAGAAGAAGAATGTTGATATGAAAATATTTTCATAAGCAACTCAAATTGCCGTCAGTGTTAGGACCCTGAAATAATAAATTCGGCTATGTGACTTAATATCAATTCAAATGGTTCAAATCTAAAAATGTTTATTGAAATTGTTGAGAAATATTTGAAAAACAATACTTTATTTTAAAGATAACGTTAAAGATTAACATATGAAATTATTTCAAACAAATTTAAAATATGGATTCTACAACGAATTTTAATTTTTATCATTAACTGATAATTATAAACAGAAGCAGCAAACATATTTTTTAAATAGTTTACCAGTTAGTTTACATAATAACTAAACCACTTAACTCATGAAATCCATAAAAATGATAAATTATTTAATTAAAATGACTGAGATCAGAGATCAAACGATCATAATCAGGAACGTCTAATTATCCCCGTATCAGCGTTGATTGGCGCCTGTTTCTTTAGACATTTGAGGTAATTACTATCGCTCACAGACGTTCACAAACTTGAATATAATAGGGAAATATCGAATGTTTGGAAGACAATAGAAATATAGAATGTTGTCTGATAACAAAAAAAATCTACATATAAACACAATTTATAAATATACGTCACATCACATACCACACACCACACACACACACACACACACACACACACACACAGGCAACCACGCAACTGCTCATTTTAACGTAGAGATATTGAATGACTATCTTATTGATAAAAAGACAATTTGTTTAAAAAGTAAATTATTTAAATTTAAAATGCGAATTGAAAACGGGCACTTTTTCTATATTTATCAAAAATGTTTCTTTAAAATACCAACATGAATCATGACAATATGAAAAACAACTCATGATCGATGTGAACCGTTATTAATTATTTATGTATCCAAAGAAGGAAATTGCCACCGACAGAAGATTTTGTTTATAATTATAATCGGTGAGTTCGTTGAAGAACGGAACAATTGCACCAATTCAGCTACAACGTCAATCAGAAAGGCAGATCGGAAACAACAATTAATCGTTGAGTTTTACTAAACCTACCAAGATTATTTTACAAATATGACAAACATCAATTGCAAGGCTATTTATGTGTGGAATTGTTAATGGAAAAAGTGATTGGAACTGTGAAAAGATTTGTTTTCATTGCAACAATGGTTGCCTTATTATATTACATAACATAACGCACATCTTACGTGTGGTTCATGCAAAACCGCAAGGGCACAGCTCTAGGGAATACTTGGTTCAAAATTTTTCCTTAAAATATAAAAACTTCCTAAAGGAAACTCAAGCTGTTCAAACCGCTTAAAATCTATCATTTGTAAATGCAAAAAATTTAGTTCACCAATAAACAACAAATAAATGAATCTTATTGTTTTCGTAATTATCAAACTTATTTATTTATGCTTTAAATTTATGGAAAAGAAAGCAGACAAAAACTTATAAAAAAATAAATGATGTTCAACGACATAAAATATTTTAAATGTTTCTATTCATATGTTTTTATTTATTTTTATACCGAAGAGCAGATAAATTTGCAATTATACATACAATTATGTAGCTAATTAATGAATCATTTCATCGGATCGCCGTATTATTTTGTGAGGTATGTTCCATCTACACCTACGTCCATGATTTAAAGAGCGTCGAAAAACGTCATTTCGATTGAAGAAACAATTATATTATGATGACATTAGTTGATAGGGTTATAATGAGTTAATTGTTCTTATCAGATATTTATTAGTCGACATCCTGATCTGTTAAACTATTGGTTTTATGGTCATTTATTTCAGCCATGGATCAAACGCAGTTAATGTTAATAAGTTTCAAACCAAACTGGAAATCTAATTCCATCGGAATTAGATTTTTGTTAGATTGTTGTTTTGTTCCATCAAAACAACAAAATTACACGCATTCGTTTTCTTTACCTATTTTATCTTAATTTGTTAATATTACTATTTATTATTATATATTTTTATCATAGTTATAATAATAATGGAAAAAATGTTTTATTGCGCATCAAATAAGATGAAATAATGGATATTTAAAGAAAATATGAATAAAGCAAAAATGTAATATAATTTAAATTTTTATTTATTTATTTCATTATTTTGAAACATTTTGGTTTTAATTTGAGTTTTTCGGTCAATAAAATAATTCTCATTATTATTATTATTATTATTATTATTATTATTATTATTATTATTATTATTATTATTATTATTATTATACGTTGAAACATGAGAGTTGGCAGATTTCTGCTTGCTCACTGTTTTTATATATTTTAATCTGTTTTATTGAGTTTTAATAGTTTAAAAATTGATTCTAAATTGGCATAAAATTAGGCGGTCAATAATTTTATAAATAGTTTTAATTTTAAATTTTTATTTATTTTAATTTTAACAATTAATGCAAATAAGTGTCCATATTGTTTTAAAGATTTTATAAATGTTAATAGACACTCCTGGCGTTGTACAAAGGCTACGTTAGTCAACAATAACATTTGCACACGTGTTTCTCCAAAGGATAATATTAATATATCTCCAAATATTTTAGTTAATAACTCAAACAATAATAATAATTCAATTAATATTGACAATAATTCAATTGTTTGTTGCTGTGGTAGAAGCTGTAAAGGCAGAAAGGGTCTACGGATGCAACAACGTGCGTGCAAAATATTTACAAACTTTTCAAATTCGTTTAGTACAACAAACGACTCAGATGAAGGTTCCAACTCGAAGTTACCTTCTCCACAGCGGCAAGCACGTGTCCCACTCTCAATAACACCAAATACTGACAAGGTAGATACACCACTTCCTGGTTTAAAACTTCCCAAAACTGCGAAACAATGGGCGGAGGCAAACGCGTACTTCCATTCGCAAATCTACCCAGTGTCAACAACATCGACAACTTCACCAACAGTCTTCAATCACTAATATACGACTACTTCGCTTCAAACTATGGCACGTTGGAAACAAAAACAATTTCATCTGTTGATCGGAACAAGTCAATCAACAAATTAAAGAAGGAGCTGAAACAACTCAAAGTCCAAGGCCGAAACAACCACAACTACCACCTGCAAATCAAAGCGCTTAGTAAAGAAATAAGATCAAAGCTATCGGCTTTGAAAGCGCAAAAAAAATATAAAAAGAACTCAGATATTACCAATCAATTGCAACAAAAATTTTGCCCTACTTGTAAAAAACTGTTTAACCCATCAAATAGTTCGCTACCTCTGTTCAACGTTACTGAATGTGAAAAATTCTTCAAAAATATTTTAAATAATCAGCACACCAAAAAGTTTCGTCTGCCAAATTGGATCCACACTCCGCCGGATCCATCATTTCCATACTCTGTTGACCCCCCAACATACAACGAAATTTCATCAATCATTCGCAAATGCAAGTCAAGAGCATCTCCCTGCCCCTTAGATCAAATATCAATAATAATTCTCAAAAAATGTCCAATAATTCGCACAATTTCGCACCAATTGCTGGTAGAATGCTGGAAATCATCGTCATTCCCTTCAAGCTGGAGAAGGGGCCTGACGATATTGATTCACAAAAAAGGTGACGCCAGCGATCCAGCAAACTTCAGACCAATAACGCTTCAACCAGTTCTCTATAAAATATTTTCAACATTTGTCAACAATAGATTATACAAATATCTTGAAATGAATAACATCATCAACAAAACAATCCAAAAAGGTTTCTACCCAAAAGTAGACGGTGTAGCTGAACACACCCATTTACTGTCACATCTACTGAGGGACGCAAAGAAGCACCAGAGAACTATCATTGTTACTCTTCTGGACTTAAGAAATGCGTTTGGCGAAGTTAATCATGATCTCATTTCATCAGTTCTTCAACATCACTATATCCCGGACTAAGTGAGCAATTTGATTAGATCAATATATGCTGATTACTCCATTACTGTATCTGTTTGTAATAATTTAACTCCACCCATTCCGGTAAAACGTGGAGTACTGCAGGGCGATCCCAGCTTCTCCTTGCTTTTCAACTTATGCTTCAATCCTCTAATAGAAGTATTACAGCAAAAATATTACCAACAATGTGGATACATTTTGGGACCGACTGCTAGTCTGAAGTCACGAGCTTGGCTCCAATTTGCTGACGATTCAGCAATCATTGCAAACTGCACAGGAGGAGTCCAAAAACTGGTTGATCTCAATCTAGCTTGGTGCCGATCGACCGGTATGAGGATGAGAATAGACAAATGTTGTATATTTGGGATGCGAAAAATCGACGGAAGATATGAACAATTTTCACCAAAATTAACAATTGAAAACGAGACGATTCCTCAGATCAACATTAACGATCATTTCACATATTTAGGAAAAATTCATGACTTCGAATGTAGGAACGCAAAAGAAATGGAGTTACTACATAATAAACTAAAACAAATACTACATACGATTAACGAATTGAATACATCCGTCCAGTGGAAACTTGAAATTTTAAGACGATTTGTTCCATCCCAATTAATGTTTGAACTTCGTATGTACGACATTTCATTGACATGGATAGAAAATACATTAGACCGTCTGATAACAGAGACCGCGAGAGATTAGCTGACCATGCCGGTAAGCAGCTGCGTTGCAGAAATGTTATCTCTGCCCTACAAATCTGAAGGCCTCAACGTAAAATCGCTAAAGTGCCATGCTGAAATAGCGAGGATGAAACTCCATGGTTACTTTAAACGAAACGCAAGCGATGAAATAAAATCTTTCTGGAACGAAACATGTAACACTTACAGAAAGGTTGACAATCTCATTCCGGAGAATGTTGATATTAAGCAGGCACTCGAAGCTCTCAAACGACAACATCATCAGAGGGACCTGAACCACCTGTCGATACTGCAGTGTCAAGGAGCTCTGGTCAAATCAGTAAATGAAAATATCCACAACTCAGAGATTGCACGATGGTCTAAATCGACAGTAAAACTATCCGAAGTCCTTTATAAATTTATAAGAAAATATATTACACAACAACTGCCTACAAACGCTAACCTTCAAAGACGGGGCAAAACAACCAATGCATTATGCCCTCTTTGCAAAGTGAAACAAACTAATAAACACGTGTTCTCAAATTGTAGCTCAACGGCAGCACTCAAACGATACTTAAATCGCCACAACAAAGTTCTCTCAATAATCATCAACAATATCAAAGCATGTGCTGGTCCGAATATCGCCATCTTCGCGGATGTAGAGGATGATGCGACACGTCCACTATCAGAGCAATTCAGATCGCTTAGACCAGACATCGCCATTCTCAGCAACAATACCATCAAAATACTTGAACTAACCATTTGCCACGAAACAAACTTTGTCAAGTCCAGGCAATACAAACTCGACAAATATACAAGCAATCTCAAAAACAACCTGTTGAACAATTTTAGTCATTATACTATTTTAATAAATTCTTTTGAATAATCGCCCATAGGTTTTTACAATTCTTTGATTAAAATTGATTGGACCGAATATTTTCGCCAAAGTTTAATTAGCAGTGTGATATTATGATGATGATATATTGTGATCGGAACAATGCGTGAATCAATTTTTATAACTATCTTATCATCGCTGTACTTATTTTATTTTAAATAAAGAGCAATGATGACTAACTATGATGATTATGATTTTATTTAAATATTATTTTAATTTAATTTAATTTTAATCATGACTATTTCTCTATCAATTAACTAATTATTGACTTTACGCATTTGATGAAAAATAAAAGATCTGTTCCCATTATTATTATTACTAGTAGTAATAGTAGTAGTGGTAGTAGTAGTAGTAGTAGTATTTGTAATAGTTGTGGTATGCTTCTAGGATTGAAGCTTTTAAAACTCGTACTAAATAAGTTGTATCATGCTTGGATGAATATTTTTTATTCAGTTTATAATTGTAAGAATTTAAGGTCTTAACTTTCAAATATATTTACCAAGTTTGAAAAAATATTTGAGTCCGTTTCAACAAAATATGCCATAAAAAAAACAAATGAACAATAGATGCAATCCTACAATCTCCTTTTAATTTCTCCAATCCAACGTAAACAACGTTACTTATTAATGAAACTGCACAGTTTTTCAAAGATTTAATGCTTTGTCACCATGATCTTAATTGCTGGCATCTTTGAACGCTTCTGTTTTTCTTTTAATGCATTTTGCACGAATGAAATGCAAATATATTTATGCATATATTTACTGAAATATTTCCTGTAAAGCAAATATTCAAAATTTTATCATTATATACTCTTTTTTTTGTATGTTGCCTCTGTCAGATTCTGATATTTAAAAAAAATCATTTTAGTTTATTTCAACTAGTTTTTGGTATTAGGAATAATATATATATATTTTTATATATCTATATTATATATATACCACAGTATATATGTATATACATTATAGACAGTATATGTACAATTGTATATACGACAGTCTGAACCAGAAATATATATTATGTATATATATTTAAATTTAATTTATATCAATTCGGTAGAATTCATACAATACCGTATATATATATATATATTATATATATATCTATATATTATATATATGTAACTATATATGTATGTTATATACATAGTATATATATATATATTATATATATAATATAATTATAAATGCATTATATTAAAAGGTATTGATTATTATGAGTTCCTGAATTTTAACACACCATTTGCATAGAGTTACTGACCATACAAGTGTGAGTTTTTGCCGCGCGACGGAATCTTTTCTCAGTTCGAATACCAGCAAACACCGCTCGCTTCCTCACAAACGTTTATCTCTGGGTCGAAAGTGCTTTCGCGCCCTGCTTGCCAGTCGGTCAATCCGGCTTTACTAACCGCTGACATGTCTTCTTTATGCATGTTTTATATGTTTAACACGGCAAACAAAAGGTAACTGAAATAAATTTATTAACAAGCAAGTAAGAAAAAAAAACTTACTCTGCAAAATAAAGATTTTCAAAATGTTTCAAACTAAATAATAAACTAAACTAAAACTGAATAGTCTGAAATCAATTCAAAACAGCAACAGAACAGCAGTAACGAAATCCAGAAAAATAAACTCGCAAACCGATGTTTGAAATACCAATTACTAGAACGACCAAAACTAAACACGTCAGGAACGAACTAACTCACTAACTGACTAACTTACCAACAAACAAACTCACAGACTCGAAGATTCTAAAACTCTGAAACTACACCAAAAACTTTCCCAAAAAACTTTCCCAAAAACTACTCCAAACAATTGTCCAAATCACATATACTAATTTTGCTGAACAACCATTCACTCTCAAATATACTCACCATACTCGCGCAATACTATATCAACATTCACATAAAACCAATTCACATAACATTCAAACAGCATGCATACAAAACCAGTTCACACAATATTCTACCAGTATGCATACCAGACCACTCCATACAACAAGTGCGCCAAACCAACCAACACACACACACACGAAACATTCATTCATACAGGAGCGCGAAAAAACTTCACACAAGAATTCCAAAAATGTACAACACTAGATTTTTTAGTTAAATTTGATCCTCTCACGAGAGTTTCGCCCGAAACTGTTTTGTAGTGACAGATGACTGATTTTTTTTTAGTACTATTCAAGTAATGCTTTCAATGAAATACCAAACCCAAGCGACGTCTTGTCACAACGTATTTTATTCGAAAGTGTAACTTGAATGCGAAACAGAAAATCAGATTTGAGCAAATACATTGACCAGTCTCTAGCAAACTGAATTTATTATTTCCTTCTTTTCTGCTTCTTGGCCTCAGTGATGTCCGACTTTATGTTTTTCTCAACTTCATACGTACTAGTGAAGGGTCCACCTTTTTCATTCAATTCTGCAATCATATTTAATCTCTTCCTTTTTTTCATTATTGCTTTAACATGTTTCTCAACAACACCTGCCTGAAACTTCTCTTTCATAGATTGACTCCAAGTAAGTTTTAGATTCTTAACCTGACAAGCTTCTTCACTGAAACTTCTAAATGACAACTTTGACTGTGCCCGAAGTTCTTCGGTCTGCTGAATGATAAAGCTTTTACTGAAGGCTCAAGCTGTTGTAATTTGTGTAGACGGTTGTCTACTTGACCACATAAACGTTCTATTGCTATATTTCTATCTGTAGTGTCGTCAATGTTCGGGGCATGTTGTTCAACAGAATATTCCTCGAAATTCGAAGTAATTCCATAGTCACGGCGTTGTCTGCTTAAGGTTAATATACAATATTTTTAATTCAGGCATTATAAAATTATACGGTTTGATGCAATCTTTTTCATACTGACGCGCAGTTTCCAATAATGCATGAACAACGTCATGGCCGTAACTGCGAGCTACACCGTCAAATGGATTTGACTCACTACCGTTAAACCAAGGCTTGTCAAACTTGAAAAAATAAGAAGTCACATCTTTCAACATTTCTTGAAAGGTAATTTTATAAAAACTCTTCAGTTGAAGATGATTAGTTCCTTTAACAATGTTTACACTGTAGAAGGACTCAACCAGATGAATTCCGAGAGCACCAAACACAGCAAAATAGGTTTAAAATATTCGACATTCAAAAAATTTCTAACGATACCATTTACTGTATAGAAGCTCTTTCATCTCATTCAAAGCTCAATTAATATTGCACATATATAAATATATATATAAATATATATATAAATATATATATATATATATATATATATGTTGCATTGTATTTAATATATTCAATACTTTTGATGCCATAGAGCCTCAAAAATTAACGTAAATGGCAACAATTTTAATAAGCAGCATTTATGGAATTGAATTCCAAAACTTCAACAAATCCATCATATTTAAAATTAGTTTTATTATAATTTATTTTAGCATGATAAGCCATTGAAATGAAGCACAACAAAAACAAAAGCTTCTCAAAGACGCACAAAGGTAAGAGACTAACGATAGAATTGTTTTATGAATTTCTCAGATAAACGTTGCCAAATTTTTATTAGTGCCACTTGGTTTTATTGTTATAAATGCTCATATGGATAACATGCAACGTGGTGAACTAATGAGTAAGACGGTTGTTCTTGTTTTGCTCTTTTAATGTTTCCTGTTTTTACTTTCAATAAAAAATATGTTGTTTCTTATGTATCATTTGGGTTTATTTTAGTTGGAGATATTCTTAAAATAATTGTTGAAATGTGTTTATTATATCAATGTTTTTCATTGTCGTTTTAATAACAATACTAAATTTGTAAATGTTTTTGTTGTCAATTTTATTTTTGTTCTGTCGAATGTAACCAAAACACTTTTTGTTGATAAAAATTTACGGATTCAATGCTTCAAATCTACTAAATCATTCGGTGAAGTAAATCAATGAAAATAAATTTGTATGACTACACTTAGTTACATGAACATGCATAAACAACTTTCTATTTAAATATTTTTCATAATCAACATTTCAATTTCAATCATTTGTGAAAAATTTAAATTTTTTTTCAATAAATAAAAATTAGCCGTTGACGAAAGTGCTGCGGTTGCGCTAATTTGTGAAAACACCAAAACCAGGAAGAGCAGTGCGCAGGACTGAAAAGAAGAAAAGATTAATATTCGTTTGGTCACGAGTTTTGTCTCTGAAATCTTACATTACAATAACAACTATTGTATATAATTTACGATTAGCCGAGTCAATACTCATGGAACAAAGACATCTGATAATAAATATTCAACAACGTGCAACTGAAATCTTTCCCTCTAATAAATTTAGAAACAGAAGAATCATCGATAATGATGACGCGTAAAAATGTCATATTGCACAAAGTTGAAGATCGTAATAACTAATTAAATTACTGTTAAGTATTCACAAACAAACAAAGAATTAACTTTGTAGTGACTTAAGAAATATATAATAGAGCATTCGGCCACTTAAACAGCGTATCAATTCGAAACCAAAGATGGTATAGGAATGCCGAAAATAGCTTTTTTGTTCTATCATGCTTAAAATAAATACAAATTTTGGTTTTGAACTCGAGAAACTTGACAATGATTTACGACCCACCATTAAAAAAATCAAAAAATTAAACAAAAAGTTAACTAACGCGGAACATGCTGTGATTTTCATCAGCATCAGTGAAAATTAAAAGGAAGTAGTTAGTTTATAAATGATATATATATATATATATATATAAATATATATATATATATATATATATATATATATATATATATATATATATATATATATATATATATATATATATATATATATATATATATATATATATATATATATATATATATATATATATATATATATATATATATATATATATATATATATATATATATATATATATATATATATATATTCAGTATTGTATGATTTCTACCGAATTGTAGGAATTAATCAATTTAAAATTTGTTTTTTTAATTTTCTTCACTAAAATTTTCTGGAAATTGTTTAATTTATTGAAAATAGATTTATTATCCAACTTCATAATGCAAGTTTATTAAAAATAATACTGTTTTTATCCAAATTCATCATAAAGATAGGCCTTATTTTGATTTTTTACAAATCATCTTCAGTTCATCTTTGGTTTATATAGTTTTTTTAAATAAAGCAAAGTTAGTTACTTAGCAACTTTGGTGTTAAATTCTTCATCTTCTTTGTCGTTGCCAATCCTTGTCTCTTATTGTTTTTGTGGTTGGTAGTATAGCGGCGAGTTGGTAATGATGTAACCATTTTTGTTGGATGTTTATTTGTGGTTTATTGATATATATTAGGACAGCTTTGTGAAAACATTTTGAAAATATACATATTGAAAATTATAGTAAGGAAAATTGAATATACAAACTTTAAATTAATTAATGCCAACAATTCTGTAGAATTCTTACAATGCTATATATATATATATATATATATATATATATATATATATATATATATATATATATATATATATATATATATATATATATATATATATATATATATATATATATATATATATATATATATATATATATATATATATATATATATATATGAAATGAATAAGTGTCCGATCAAATTCAAACAACTATTAATCAGTCATCACCACAAATGCCATTCTCAAACTCATCATCACTTCAACTTTCTATTTTTTCTTTTTTTATTCCATCACTTTTTTTGGAATGATGTTGGAGCCGATGTGTCTCTAAGTGCGATGAATCAATATTAACATGACAATCATCCGGAGCCACGCCAAGTCAACTAATCATGTGCGGCGCAGGACGGTGGCCAGGTATTGAAGAATCGTCCTGCGTCGTTTTATTGCGTTTTTCATTATTCGATATCATTCATAGACATCTCAAATTCTATCCGCTTTTTTTAAATAAATAAATTTCACAAATAATGTGTGTGCATGTGTGTGTGTGTTGTGTTTGTTGAAAAATGTATATGGTCGTTACATAAAAAAAAGTTGCAAGAAAATTTAATTATAGACGCAAAAAAAACAGTTTTCGCTATATATTTTGAATATACAATCATTAAAAACCCCTGCCATACATTGACTTTTTAATTAAATATGCAAGGTGCGCGCTTATATATCGTTATCGCGACGATGGAATGAAAAAGATTTAAAGAAATGAATTGGCTAAGTTGAGTACGAGTGAAAAAGAAAGAAAAAGGAGTGATGATCCAGATTATCGGTACAAAGTTCATTTCACTTTCGTAACCCGTCTACAGCGCCGGGCAGATGTTCTTTATTTACTGCCTGTCTGTTTGTCTCTGTCAGTCTGCATTGCAGTATTCACATATTTAATGCTGTTTTCCATTTCCCCTCTGTTCCTTTGTGTGTATGCAAAATTCTATTTATCAAGAGCCTTCATTTGCTGGACCCAAAAAAATGTAAGAAATATTACAGTTTGCGAATAATTCCATATTTAAAACAGGTTTTCGAATTTTAAATATATCAACTTTATTAAACACTTCTATTCAACGCAGCCCACTATAGCGGTACTTATAATAATTATTACGATAATGATGGCTGTCGTTTATTATATTAATCACACAGTAAAATTGTTAATAAATTTAATAACAAGATAAATAACAAACTTAAATTAACAAAAAACATTTTTAAATGTTGAAAATAATTTTTAATTTGTTTTTGCCGCTAAATATTGCAGACAGTATTTAAAAATGATATTTAGTAGCAATGTAAATATTATTTCATGACTTCCGCTATTAGTTTCCTTTTTGCTTGCTTCCTTTCCCCACGAAGAAGTTGTTGTTCAATCACCATTTCGATTTTTCGTAACTGTTTTATTCAAATTTACGACATCGAGATCAAGTAATTTAGATTTGTTGCATGGTACCTAAGATCTGGATCAATTTGCCGATTGACATGAGAAATCGTGAACTGTCAATTTCTGAGTTTCGACAAGTTATAAAATTCTACCTATTTAGAAAAACTTTCCCGGCGTCATAAACCTGTTTGTATGTGTAAAACTTAATCAATGTGCACGTTGTTAGCGCTTTGAGAGCTATAAAAAGCGCTTTACAATAATCTAATTATATATATATAAATATAAAAAATAAATATGTATATATATACAATATTAAAAAATAATTTAATAATTAATAATAATTAATTGAAACAATTAGAAAAATACGTCTTTAAATGTTGTGACAAATTTTTTGAAACAAAATGAAAAAATAGAAATCATCTACATATATGAAAATTAAAATCGTTCTTGCAGTAACCTTATTTGAATAAAAAGATATGAAAATGAAAGAAATGGAGCAAATGACTCACAGTTAAGATCGTCAACTCGAGTGATTCCCACTTGCAACACATATTTCTGTTGGCCTCGGTCGTAATCCAGCACTGCCCCGTCTTTCAAACGAATATTTCCCTGAGTTGGATGCAGTTCAAATATGTCAGGAACCTCGTTAACAAAAAAATATCTTTCCTGATCTTTTTTGTCTATGCTCCAAATAATTCCAGACGCCGTTTCATTGATGAAAACATCTATCTCGCCTTCTGAATTAATCATACTGTGGGTTATACTCTTTTTTTTACGCTTTTCTAAATTGGATAGTTTTAACTTCAATTTTGATACAAAGTGTTTGTGTTGATGATTGTTGTAGCTGTGATGATTTAAATAATCTCGGTCGTAATGATGAACAAATTTTTGAAATTTGTTATCGGTTGAACTTGGGACTTCATTGGATGTCAAAATGTTCTTTTCTATCGAATGCAAACTAAATACAAATAACAAAATTAATAACAAAATGAAAGTTTTGCGGAACTGAAATAATGAGGCCATAGTCAAATTTTCTTAAACCGGTTTAGATTTTTTTTTCCAGCAAATTGTTTGAATTGCAAACGTTGGATCAAATGTTTCAACAATTAATTTTTTACATAAAAATATCGATCAATTTGGTTATTATAATTTTTCAGCTATTAAGTTTTTAGTTGTTCTGTGGAAAATATTGCCATTTCATACGATATAAATTAGGAAACATTGTCATAATGTATAAATAGTATGATAGTCAATGTTATTGTTAACGTTGTTTTCTTAAACGACGCTGGTGAAGTTTGATTTAAAAATTTAGTTCAAAAAACGAATTGTCAACGAGAATCATCTACAAATGTTTTCTATTTTTTCATCAATTTATAATAGTTTTAGTGCAACATAATAAACAACATTAATAAGGCTAAAAATTATAAGAAACTAAGTCAAGAATAAATGTGAATTTATAATGATCATAAAGCGGTTCACGTTTGAGTTTTACTACGCGCGTTAGTATATCTATATGTATAAAGATGTGTGTGTATACATACGTAATAACATTAACTCTATAAATCAAATATGTATGTATATGCAAACATTCATTTATATATATATCATTTATATAATATCTATATATATATATATATATATATATATATATATCTAATAGATTAACAAATTGTTATATGATGTACATGTAATATATATATATATATATATATATATATATATATATAGGAAACAGGAGAAAAGAACCTAGATAAAATCACTAAATTACTCATTAATAATGGAAATAAAAATTCCATGATCCAAAAAATAATAGAACGCTAAGAACAAAAAATCAGCATCAGCGACAACAATGCAAATAACAAAAATAACATAGGGATATATTGTAAAAACCACATGTCAACTGCTTTCAAACAAGATGAAAATATCATAAAATAAATCATAAAAAGTAACGTTCAGGCAACAAACGATAACGTTAGTATTAAACTACGAATGTACTACTCCAACCAAAGGACGTCATCACTCGTGATGATAAACAACTGCACTAGTAAGTCAGAATCGATTTTAGATCATAGCCATCTAATATATTTGTTGAAATATAACATTGGTGAGTGTGGGCACCATAATTCCAAATATATTGGTATGACGACGACAAAGCTACCGAGAAAACTCAAGATGTACGTACAAACTGGCGCTATAAAGAATCATATGAAAGAGAAACACAAAACTAAAATTACTAGGCGAATCTTAGACAACAATGTTGCAATCTTATATTACAAAAACATCCATTTTAATTTACATTTAGTCGAGTCAATACTCGTACAACAAAGACATCCTACAGTAAATATTCAACAACGTGCAATTGGAATCCTTTCTACTTATGAATTTAGAAACGGTGGAGTCATATTGCACAAAGTTGAAAAGATCGTGATAACTAATTAAATGACCGTTAAGTATTCACATTAAAAAAACAAAAGAATTATATATATATATATATATATATATATATATATATATATATATATTTAGGAACGAGGTTTTCAGAAATGCAAATTTCATTGAAATTGTTTGCCCATTTTGCATTAATTAACTTCTTTATAAGACATTCAACGAGGCGGTATTGTTTGAGTTCATATTTATCTAAAACTGGAATAAAGCTAACAGCGCTGTTTCGGCGTAATGCCATCTTCAGAGCCTAAATATTGTTTAAACATATAATTTAATTAAAAGAAATGTCTAATGTAAAATGTGAAAATATAGAAAATAAAATATGTATTAAATTGTGAAATAAATTAACCTTGTTGTAAATATCATAATAACTAAAGTTTATGTAGATTATGTAAATAAAATAATGTAATTTAAATAAAATGTTTAGTAAAATAATTAAAATATAGAAATTTTATAAAAGTTTTAACATGGTTGAAAAACGTTGGTGAAAACTAATTACGAATGACATGTGCGCCAGATATATAATATTGCTGTGTATGCGTTGTGAATACAACTATTGCGGTTGAATATGTGTGATACGAGTTTCCACATCAGACCTACGGATACATAGTTGAATATAAATACATATATGTACATGCAAGATACATATCGATGTATAGATCAAATATTAAGTATCACATAATACATCCAACGACGCAATGACAGTTGTCGGATGACGCTGGGTCACAAACTGCGTGTTAATGGGTTGAAATGTATTCAACGTAGAATGATATTCATATCGTTGTGGTACACGCAGATCCTGTGGATTAACCCCAACGGCAACAGTAGGTGTGAGATCGTGATATTGAGAAAACAATTGCAAAGTGTGATCAAAGCTGTTATATTGTTTATTGAGTGAGGGTTTATGCTTGTTGATATGAAGGGCTTCTTTAATTTTGAGGCGAACTGGATCGGGTTCATTATCAAGGATCGTTTTGTTGGGATCCAATATGTTCCTCGTAAGCGGTTGATGATGTACCTGTTCCATATGGTCCTTAATGGCACCATTCTGTGTATGCATGGTGAGTCTTCTAGAATATATATATATATATATATACTTGAGCATTTGGCCACATACACAACGTATCAATTCGAACACCGAAGATGGTAAAGGAACACCGTAAAAAAAACGTTTTAGAACTATATATATTGTGCATTTGATCTTTGTTCATGGTATAAAATTATGATCATTGTTACCATCTGAACTGAAAATGCTATCTGGCTTATCTTCATTTAAAAAAATTTTGTTCATCTGAATTTGTTTTCTATGTTAAATTAATTTCTATTATATCAATATTTTATGATACATTTAACAATCTATTGTTTTTAAATGCATGTATGTGTGTAGGATGAAAGCTCGGGTGTGTTTATGTGTACATGTGCCTAGAATATTCTTTTAATTTTGTAATCAATTTTATATGATGTTTTTTTTATATAGATTGCCATCATTATTATTTTCTATTAATCTAAATAAGTATTCATATATAAATTGAAATCAATCTCATCTTAGTTTTACTTTGGTTTAATTGTTGTTCTTGTTCGTTCTCAATTGGTTTTCAGGACGGTTAAATGTTTTTATGAACTTTAAAATTGCAGATGTATGATAAAGATTTCATTTTATTTCATTATAATTTATATTTTTACTGTTTCTGTTTATTTTGATGGCCAAATAAACTATGCCTCTGGTCCTAATAAAAAAAATTGTAAAGGCAGGAAGGAGACAATAATTGATGCAATACTTGATAAAATTTGACGAATTTTTAGCTCTTGAAAGTTTACGATTGAATTCGTGAGATAATTTTTCATATTTGTCTTTTGGTCAATCCGTCCCTGAGCTATATTTATTTCTCAGCACATATACTTCTACACTGATCCTTTAAAAAGCACCGACATGCCAAGTTAAAAGCATATTATTAACTTACTTTATCGATACCTGCATTAAGATACATGGTCACATTTAATTTCATCAGGCGTAATTACAGCAACGTAAAACATCAAGTAAAAAAAAAATGATATATTTTAGGTGTATTGACAACAAAAAGTTGGGAAATAGCATAAAACATTCTACAATTCGACACAGCCACAACAATAATCTTGCAACTTTAAAAAACATAAATCAAGTATATGAAATATATTTTTCGACCATTTACAACAGTAATGTTATGCCAAATTGTTACAACAAAAACATGCGCAACATAGTTTTAGATTTAACTACAAAAATACACATGAAATAAATTCAAAAACATCATTATTTCCAACAGAAATATTATCATCATCATTTTGCACGCCTGTTAACGAAACAAACAACAAAACAAAGATAAGTTTATAAATTGCAAGAATGCTAAGCCTTTCCAGCTATTATCATAGAAAGAATATCGAGCATTCGCATATGCTCGAACATCTGTTAGTCTCATCATTTTAAAATTCTGTCGGTCTGTATGCATGCATGTTATCTATTACAGAAGTTGAATGTCTTGAAAAGTATTAGTCATTCGCATAAATGGTGCATCGATGTTGGCTGCAACAGGGCTTTCTAACTAATTCAAAATTATATAATAAGAAATAATGTACAATTTTACAATATCTTTAGAAATATTCCTTTGTTTTTCCAGATCAGAGATTATTAAATTTTAATTGGGTTAACGACTTGTTGAAACCAAGAACATATCCAAGAAGTCCGTTGAGCCTATAGACGGGAACTCGTCTACTAGTCTATGGTCTCATACTCTACGCTTTTTATTCTTCCAAACACATTGATAAAAGTAAGTTTTGATAGTTTTCGAGCATCCTTAGAATGAGTTTATTTATAATACAAGCCATTCTAAACAATATATGTACATTATATATATATATATATTCATTATTAAAAACTTCTTCAATAATCTTCTTCAGTCTTCAATAATGTGTTATCTAATGAAACGGTTTTGACATCAGGTGTGCCACAAGGTTCAGTGCTTGGGCCTATTCTTTTTATCATGTATACCGCTGAAGTTTTTAAAGTAATTGGTAATTTCGGTTTTAAATATCATGCCTATGCTGATGATATTCAGATTATAGTTAGTAGTAAGCCAGAATTACTGCAATCTGAAATCAACAAACTTGTAACCTGCCTAAATAACATAGATAATTGGATGTCAAACAATGGTCTTAGATTAAATCAGCAGAAGTCAAAATTTGTTCCAATAGGTACATGGCAGCAGCTGATGAAACTTAATATCGATTCAGTGAAAATAGGAGATGTTAAAATAGAATTTAGTGACAAAGCAACTAATCTGGGTTTCATTCCTGATTCTAGATTATCGATGCATGATCATATAAAGATGATAACAAATTCTTGCTCCGGACAGATTCGAGAACTCTATAAACTCCGTAAGTCATTAGATAAATCTGCTATTCATACCTTGGTGCATACATTGGTTCATTCACGATTGGACTATTGCAATGGTCTGTTTTACGGTTTGCCAGATAGGTCTATTTCTGCAATTCAATCTATTCAGAATAGAGCAGCCAAATTGATTGTTGGAGGTCTCAAATTTAAC